CTTATGGCAGCTCGTCGATTGCCTGGACTCTTGAAGCACCGGATCCGCCTTCGAGACCCAGTCTTCGGTACTGCTCTTGTGGACCATTTGAACAAGACAGGTCGAAAAGGTCTGGCTGCATTGACTTGTGTTTTTGTCAGTTTATGCCTTCTTGATCGTCCTATTCAGCAAAAATTCCTTAGATCTTAGGTGACGGGATTGGCGCACTGTGATTTCACAAAGGAAATGCTGCTATTTATAGTATTGTTGAGGGGATACCTTGTTAACAGTGCAAAAAATTTGGCATTCCTAAGAATGCACTTGTTCTTAATTCAGTTTTTGTGCAAACTAGAAGAACGATATTTAGCGCCTTTGCCCTTCCTTCCGCCCATGTCTTAGTTTGAGGGATATGTACATATAAGTTTTTAGTCCCGCTAATCGTCGAGAGATGCTGTGAAGCAATTGAACATCAAGGTGTTGTGACAGGAATCTACCGCCAGTGTGGGATTCAATCTAATATACAGAAATTAAGGTGAGCCCACATATTTTGAAACATCTAAAAATTGAATTTACCTTCAGCTTGGCAGATTTGTCTTTTTCCAGTGATTTTAATAGCACGTGCTTTTCTCCAATATTTAGTTGATGGATAATTCCAAAATTCCTCTTGAAGAAGAAAATTCAATTAATTACTATGTGCTGTTTTAGAGCGAAGTTTGACCGCGGAAATGAACCTGATCTCTTCGAGTTTGGTCAGAGAGATATCTATTCCGTTTCCTCCTTGTTGAAGCAATACTTTCGCCAGCTTCCTAATCCTCTGTTCACCTTCCAGTCCTACTCAAGAATTTTGGTATGTTGTAAAATATTGGCAGACTTGAAAGTTGGGTTTCGACAAAATCTAAAAATTTTACTTTAAAATCAGGAAAATTGAGGTGATAAAGAAAACTGTTCTGAATTAACGGGGAAAATCTAAGAGAACCATTCAGAGTCAGTGTGTTGAATGAAAGAATCATTTAGACAGCCTTTGAAAGCCCCGAAGATGACAGAATTCTCAAATTGCGAAGTGTTTTAGAAACAATGCCATCAGCACATTTACGGTGAGTGTTCA